GTTGTTCTTGGCTGGAGAATTTTGTGGTTTTAGAGAGGTAAAGAGAGAGTTTGAGTGTGGTAAATGGTGGAGTGTAAGAGAGAATGAGGGGTAGAGTGAAAGAGAGAAGATGGAGTGGTAGAGTTAATTGATTATGTGTTGGGAAGAGGAGAGAGAGGAGAGATCCGACTTTTTAATGAAGAGAGGGTCTCCCTGTTTTAAATTTTATAAAATATAAGTTTATTTTATTAAAATATCAAGTTTTTATAAAACATGCACCTTATTCTAAATTTTCCTTCACAAAACCTTGATTTTTGGCTTAGAAAATAAGGTTAAATACTAATGACTTAATTTTTTTTTCCTTGGTTATATTTTACTAAATTGAGTTATTTTAAATTGATATTTTATAGTCCATACCAAATTTATGACTTTTTATGTGTTAAAGTTTATAAAATTGAGTTTTTAGGGCATTTAGGGTTTTCGAGAGTTTGTAAGTCTTTGGATATCAAAATTAATTAAATTTTGAGACTTCAAACTATTTTAGAGTTTCATAACTCTTATTCAAGTTAGAAATAATGTTTGTAATATTTTTTATCGGTTTATTGGCATTCTATGTAGTGATTCCGAGATTCAAGCGAAATTGAGGAAAGCAAGTGTACTAGTCATACTCTTCAACTTTGACTTAAGTTTCTATGAGACTCTGACCTAACTTTTACTTCTAGGTAAAGTACATAATGTGTGTATATGATTCATGAAATGGTGTTCAAGTCAAAGAGTGACCCTAATATAGATAGTCACTAAAGTTAAGTAGTAGTAAAATTCACATATCAATGTGAAATTTAAGTACACTATCCATTGATTCTAATTGTTTCCAAGTTTCTAGTAGGTTATAACTTAGCTTCTAGTTACTAAGTCTAGTACGTGTAGTGCCTATATGTGCAACTAAGTCTAGTCAAATCTAGAACCGACTCGAATTTTGACAGTTGTCAAAGCCTTAGAGACTGCCGCCCATATCCTTAACCGAGTCCCTACAAAGAAGGTTGCCAAAACACCTCACGAGATGTGGAAAGGGAAAGCTCCCTTGTTAGCACACATCAAGCTTTGGGGTTGTGAAGTCTTCGTAAAACGAGAGACTCACAACAAGCTCGAACCTCGTAGTGAGCGATGTATTTTCATCGGCTACCCGCAGAAATCCTTTGGATATCTTTTTTATAGACCGAGTGACAATATAGTCTTCGTTGTGAGGAGAGGGGTTTTCCGAGAGCGAGAACTCATAAGCCAAGGAGAAAATGGGAGGCAAGTCGATCTTGAAGAAATTCAAGAGTCGAGCGATGAAGGAACCTCTAACGCTGGCGCTCAACCCAAGGAGGAAACTCCGGTTGAACCGATTGACCAAACCTTACCTTTTAGACGTTCCGAAAGAGTTAGAGTTCAACCCCAGTTATATGGCTTTCATATTACTACCGAAGGGCACACGTATATTAGTGACAGTACACTAGTAAACCTAGATGAACCTAACAGCTATAAGGAAGCCATGGCAGGCCCGGAGTCTGCTAAATGGAAAGAGGCAATGGATAGTGAGATTCAGTCCATGTATGAAAACCAAGTTTGGAATTTGGTTGACAATGTGCCCGGACGTAAGATGGTTGGGTGCAAATGGATCTTCAAGAAGAAGACCGACGTGGATGGGAAACTGCACACGTATAAGGCACGACTAGTGGCGAAGGGCTTTACTCAAACTCCCGGAGTTGACTATGATGAGACCTTCTCAGCAGTTGCTAAGATAAAATCTATTAGGGTGATGCCACCCATTGCCACATTTCATGATTATGAGAGATGGCAAATGGATGTCAAAATCGCTTTCCTTAATGGGAAGTTGGATGAGGATGTTTACATAGCTCAGCCAGAGGTTTTTTTCGATCCGAAGCATCCCAATAGAGTGTGCAAGCTTGAGAAGTCCATTTATGGACTTAAGCAAGCATCTCGCAGATGGAATCTTTGTTTTGATGAGAAAGTGAAACAGTTTTGAGTTGTACGAAGCGAAGATGAATCATGTGTATATGTCAAAGCCAGTGGGAGCATAGTTAGCTTTCTCGTTTTGTATGTCGATGACATACATCTCATAGGAAATGACATCCTGACTCTGCAGGAGGTAAAGTCCTGGCTCGGGAAGTGCTTCGCTATGAAGGACCTTGGAGAGGCTTCCTATATATTGGGAATAAGGATAGTGAGAGAAAGAAGTAAGAGATGAATAGGACTTAGTCAGAATACTTACTTAGATAAAGTACTGAAACGTTTTAGTATGGAAAACTCGAAGAAGGGAGAAATACCTATACAAAGTAATACAAAGTTGAGTAAGACTCAAAGTCCGAGTACCGAAGCCGAGATAGCTGAGATGAGCCGAGTACCTTACGCTTCCGTAGTTGGCTCAATCATGTATGCTATGACTTGTACTCGACCTGACGTGGCCTTTTCTTTGAGCATGGTCAGCAGATATCAAGGGAATCCTAGAAGAGGGCATTAAATTGTGGTCAAGAACATCCTTAAGTACCTTCGGAGGACCAAGGAATGGTTTCTAGTCCTCGGAGGTAGTGATGACTTAAAGGTGTGAGGATACAGTGACGCCAGTTTCCAGACCGACAGGGACAACTACTATTCGCAGCCAGGATGGGTATTTACCCTTAATGGAGGAGCGATAACTTGGAAAAGTTCCAAACAGGAAACTGTAGCTGATTCAATGTGCAAATCAGAGTACATTGCAGCGAGAGAAGCGTCAAAAAAGGCAATATGGTTGAAGAACTTCATTGGCGATCTTGGAGTTGTGCCTGATATAAAGGAGCCCATGGAAATTTTATGTGATAATGAAGGAGCGGTTTCCTTGACCAACCAACAGAGGGAACATGGTAGATCTCGGCATATCGATAGAAAATATCACTTTATTAGACATCAAGTAGAAGGACACCTCGTAGTTAAGAGGATATCATGAGAAGATAACCCAGCAGATCCGCTTACGAAGGGACTGGGCAGGGTTAAGCACATGCAGCATGCTAGGAGTATTGGGCAGAAGGATGATATTAGTTTATATTAGATAGTTTTAGACAAATGTAATAGGTTAATGTAATTGACATTTTATGATTAAATAAAGGAGTATTGTTTATAAGTAAAGTTACTATCTTATGTTAATTGTTTAGCTATTGTTTCACTTTGCATGTTTTGACTTCCTGAATAATTAAGTTATTAAGAATAATCGAGTTATTCGAATGGTCCACAATCGTTCATATGTTGGAAGTAGGTATGAATGAAGATTGTCATGAATTGATGTGTAGATTGTCTAAATGGTATTAGACATAGCAAAGGTTTGCTGCAACGTTCATGAGTGCTTATGAACAAGTTTTGAGCATTGGATTAAACCCGCACTTGCTGGAATCACTTTGGGGTGATCGCAAGACGATAATATCATATGATCTTAAAACTTAGATATATGGTTTATTATTTACTAATTGGTTGTACATTGATAATGCGAAACCTCATCAGTAAATTGATGTCATAAAACGCATTGTTGTGTATAGTAGATTAGTCAATAAGTAGATGCATATAAGTCGAAGTTTATCTGTTACTTTTATCCTAAGAGGTTGAAAGGGATATCACGGCCGCTCGATGATTTGATTTGACTTATGTGCCGGGCCCGGTTAGGACTGAATTGATGTGTTCAATTAAGTTCTATGTCAAATAAATCTGAGATCGAGAAAATAGTTGCTGGACAATAAGTATGACATTGTTTCATGAAATCGTCTGCACGATATCAAAAATAGAGGACTATACGATCCCTTATCTAAAGGACAGGTTACTGATAAGATCAGAGTTGACAACGTCTTTGAGAGCTACGATTGCTGATCGGATTGTGTTTGCGTTTATAGTTACAAGACTTATCCAAGTGGGAGACTGTTGGATTACTGTCTAAGGCTGTAACTATATTTGGTAAGTACTTGACCCGATTGTGCATGGTCCTTTTGGGTTGACAGGGTGATTTATATAGAGAGAAGAGATATTATTATTAATGTATAATAAGAATAATATGTTAAAGGAATAATAATATTAATTTGATTAATATAAGCCATAAATTAATTAGGAATTAATTTGGTGACTTAAAGAGATAAATTGAAGAAAGGGGTATAAACTGTCAAGTGTGTGATAGTTGTATTTTGAGCTAAGAATCCTTATGGATATGGGTTGGACGATTTTAGGGATGTGGATCACCTAGAAATCGTCCAAGGCTTCTCTAGGAGGGATATTGGATTGCTTTGAGACTAAGTTATCCAATTAGGGTTTTAGGGTGAAACCCTAGGAGCTCATAGTATAAATAGACCCTTGGGGTTGTGGAAATCGACACCTTTGTTATTGGAGTAACCCTAGAGCCGATTTTCCTCTTCTTTACCTCTCTCAAATCATCTTCTTGCTAGTTGGTGTTTGTAAGCCATTAGAGGAGTGACAATTATGACTCTAAGCTCCAAGAAGAAGAAGGATCAAACAAGCAACTCAAGGTATTCTTCTAGATCTGGTTTTCATATGCTATGAATTGATTATTTACACTAGATCTATGAATGAAAGTCTTGGATACTTGCATGTTCAATTAGATAAACCTAGATCCAAGTTAATAGGGTTTGCATGTGCACATAGGAAAGTTCTTATGGCCCATAACCCATCAAAGCTCGCCATCAACCTAAGCACGCACTTTCTCCTTCTCCTCCAACCCATCTCTCCTCTCCACCATCGTCGCTGACCTACGCGCCGCCCGTCAAGGAGACCCATCTGATCCCACTCCTTCTGTGTTCACTCCCAAAAGGTACATTATTCATGTGTCTTCTATCACAAAAAATTGTTTCTTCTTTCTGTCTTCAGTTTGACGTCCCTGCAACTTCAAGGCTTCAATCAGGTTTCATTATCGTCTCCTTATATAAGAATATCTTGTTTTTGTTTCCTCTACATTCTACCCTAGCTCCAGAGCAACTTGTTGGTGTGGAATGGACAATGTATTGTTGTATTGGGATGATATGCTTCTGATGGTGGGACCTTATGGAGATCTGGTTCACTATCTTTATGATGAACCCATTATCCTTATCCCAGAGTGTGATGGAGCTAGGATATTGTCTAACTTAAACATGGGGTTTCTTCAACGGGTCCCATCTTCTATTGAATCTATCTTCAAGATTCAGAGCATAGAACGAACAGCTTTATTGTATGATGCTTTGGATCATTATGATAGGAGGAATGCAAAGGTAGGGTGTCACTTTGATCTTTGAATTAGACTTTACATTTCTTTCTTTCCTTCTAACTTCCAATATCAATTTATTCCATTCCATGCTGATGAAAATTTGAGGCTGATAAAAACATCGTTGCCTGAGGCTGTTAAAGTCTTTAGATGCTGCAAGACATGAGTTTAATCATTTTGACAGGAGGAATACAAAGGTAGGGTGTCATGTGCGCCTCACACTCACAGCCCACCTTCATGAAAATCAAGACCTAAAGATGTAATTCATTCCCATTCTCTTTTCATGATCAAATAACCTTTTTACCCCTGTTTATGCACACACAGTTGATTGATAACCAACATTGTGACAACCTGGAATTTTCATTCGTACAAACCCTAAAGTCAAGCACTTCAATTAAAATCCAATTACATTTCTGCTAATTTTTAGCCGGTGTAAAGTCTGTTTGAGTAGTTTTATTAATTGTTCATGAACCGAACAGATAAAAGGAAGTGATTTCTAGAATATTGAGATAGCAAAGGAACAACCAACACCTTAGTTAGGTGTTCACGGCCAAACAAAGGGAGTTTGGGCCGTGAACTCTATCATGGCCATGAACTCATGCCTTAGGCATGAGTTTACTCCCCAAATCCTTCATTTCTCACTTCCACCCTCAAGAACACTCCCTATTCTCTCTCAAGTAGCATCCCGTTCTTCACCTGATCTCCTGAAAAAGTAAGTATTTCTCGACTTGATTTGTTGTTATACCCTATCACCTAGTGTTTATACATCATTTCATGCATTCATTATTGCTTTTCAAGTAGATCATCAAGTGTTCTTCAATACACCAAGAACACACACTAGTGTTCTTGGACCTTAAACACCCAATCAAGCTTATATCTTGTAAGTACACTTGCCCTAGCTTCATATGTGCTTAATATGAACTTGATAACACTTGAAAATCATCAAGAATCATAAGAACAAAGAAGTTTACTGCCAAGGATGTTCTTGGGCCGTAAACCCTTCTAAAGGTGGTTAAATAGACCTTAGTCCCTTCCTAAGCCTTGGATGCCAACCTTGATCCTTCCTATATGTGTTTAATGTTGGACTAGCGTCTAAGTCGATAACTATTTTGGTATGTAGTTGACCCGATTGTGCATGGTCCTTTTGGGTTGCCCTCACACTGGTGACTAGACATGATGATTGTTGAGGAGAGAGGCTAGTTTATTGTTAAGAATAATAAATTAGGGTATAAATATGATTTGTTAATATATTATATGAATAATATATTAATTTGGAATCATATTATTAATTAGTATTTAATTAGAAATTAATTTAGAATTAATTTTGGGATTAAAGGAACTAACTGAAAGTGCATGGGCTATTTTGTAATGATTCAATAGTTGAGGCTTTGGGCCATTGAATCACCTTTATTAAGGCTTGAATGAAAATCCTAGAAGGAGCTAGGAGTTTTTGTCCAAGGGCTGAAGGAAAGGAGTCCATGGACTTGCTTAGGCCCTAAGTTAAGGGATTAGGGTTTACACCTTGAAACCCTTGTTAGCCTTAAGTATAAATAGCACCCTAAGGCACTAAGATTTCGGCTAAGCTTTGGGAAACCCTAAAAGGGACGAATTCTAGGGCAAGATACCCTTCTCTCCTCTCTCCCATATTCATCCATTCACCTAGTGTGTTTATGAGCCATTAGAGGTACTACACTTGTGGTACTTGCTTTCAAGAGCTAAGGAAATTCAAGGAACTAGTTGTTATTGCTATATAAGAACAAAAGGTATGTATTCTATTTTTATATATGAATTTAGAAAATAATAGTAGCATGTCAGGTTTCTTTTTGTGTTCATAAAGTTGTATAACTAATAATGAAAACATAGATCCAACTCTAGGGTTGCATGCACACATAGGACTGTTTGTATAAAACCCTTCAGTGGTATTAGAGCCTTTTAGTTTTTGTTTTCAATTAGATGTGATACAAATGTATGAATATGAAAATTAGGGTTTATGGCTAATAAACCCTGGAGGCTTGATTTTTGAAATTAGGGTTTCTAAACCCTAGATTTTGAAATTTTTGGTAAGATTTCCTAAACCTTTTTCTTTTGCCCTAAGATTTCGATTTTAGGGTTGTCTAACCCTAGAATTTCGAAATTGCTTCCTTCCCCAAGATTAGATCCTAAATTTTAAGGATTTGGATATTGTTATATCTTGTAATTATCCTTTAAATGTTTAAATTTGGTAATTAAAGATTTTGATTTATCCCATCCCATACTTTCAAAATCTAAGGGATTTAAGGATATCCTTGCCAAAATAAAAGATAGTTGTCAAATTATTATTATTATTTGTAATTCGATCTAGAATGTTCTTGCTTATGTTTTGAAAAGTTTCAAAACTTGCCCTCAAGTTTTGGAATTTAAATTGTTTGATTAAAAAGTTTAATTTTGAAATGTTAAATTCTAAAACCATAGTATTTTAAAAAATTCAAATTACACCCTTATGGTTTTATTAATTAATTAAAGAGTATAATTAAAGGAGATTTAATAAACCCATAAAATTTTGGTTTACATTTAATTAAATTAAAAGTATAATTTATTAAATTACACCACCTAGTATTTTAAAAGTATAAAATACACCCTTATACTATGTATAACATTAAAAATCTAATATTATATATGTATAACTTAAATGCTAGTCTTACCATTAGTAGGCCTCATTCACGAAGTTGATCTATAAGGGGGGTATAAGGTTATATCCTATAAAATGGTCGTTTAATGGGTGTCCACTCTCACCCACCGCTTCCTTGATTGGTGGAGGGTCGTTAGCCGAACGGGTAGGATAGGGCAAACCCTTTCCATTAAAAGTATAATGAAGTATAAAGTAACTAAATGTTTTTACAAAATTCCCAATCTTAGTTACTTTAGGCAACAGTGAATTGATTCAATTCCATGAAATTACAGTTTGTGCCCTTGCAAAGATGTTAGTGGAGCGCATGTGGTTAACAGGCACACTAAATGGTTCTAAGCAAAGGTAGCAAAGCGTGATTCAATGTTTATCATAGTTCGGTGGAGCGTGTGTGGTTAACCGGAACATCGAGTAGGTGACTATAACATTGGAGGCACCATGTAAGTTTGCATGGTTATTCACACCCTGATTTGTGATCCTCGGCATCCCATTCACAAATCGAGGGGCATGTCGAGATTTAAACATGCCATTGAAAAGTTCAATGAATCTCAAAAGATCTAGGAGTTTTCAATACATTTAAAACTTAAGTTTCCTTTTCATTTTTCATGGTGGAAATTGGTAAATCGTCATTTACCTACCTTCAAATATTCTGCAACTAGATTACGACATCCCTCTTCTAGGTTGTAGAGTATTGTGTTGGATCCTAGCCTTGATATTTCATTTGGGTGTCACAAGCTTTCAACATGAAGATGATATTCCGCGATATGATCGAGGAACAAGAGATCATGCTTCACTTCCTCTACCTCCTCCAATTAGTCTCCCTAACCCACAAGTTTGAAGCCTTGAAAAGTTCAAACTCACTCAAGCCCTTTTGGCAAGTAAACATGAAGATGGGAAACTTGTGTGTGCACATGTCTTAGAGATGAAGTAACAAATCGATAGGTTAAGGATGTTGGGTGTCGAGATTTCAGGCGAGTTGGCTGTTCATTGGGTTCTTTAGTCACTTCCTAAATCATATAGTGAGTTCGTTAGAGAGTACTATATGATGCATCACGACGTGACCCTCATTGATCTCACGTATTTTCTTATAGCTGCTGAATCAACAATGATTTGGCGTGTTGGTCAAGCAAATTTGTCTGGTGAGTCAAACTCCCAAACTGCAATGGGTACTAGAAACATCAGAAGTCTAGAAAGAACTAAGTCTATGATTGTCTGATGTGATGTGCCAAAGGAGTCCATTTGCTTTTATTGCCAAGAGAAGGGGCATTGGAGACGAAGTTGCCTAACTACCTGAGAAATCTAAGAGATGGGAGAGTCAAGATGCATGGCTCTACTTCAGGTAAAATCTATTAACTAACTCTTTTATGTTCCTATTCTAGATTCTTAATAAATGATGTAATAAGATTACATTTTGATGTTTTATAGGATCGAAGAAAAGAGAGGAAGCTTAAGGGAAGAAGTGAGCTGAATCTAATCATGCAGAAATGGATTTCGATCGCATTGCTTGAAGATTAGAACTTTGAGCTACTACTTGGAGTTAGAATAGATTTCTATGAAATATGTATTAACATAGTTTTCAATTGAATTGCATTGTAAGAACAAATTTTTCCACAATAAAATAAATTTTGATTTTATAGTATTTATTTATCCTTGCAATGGCGTGTATGAAAAATTAATGTTTGAATGTTTCAGTTATTAGTAATAATGGATTATGTTATTTGTGGAAATGTCAAGAATTTTACCAAATAGGGAGAGTTTCTCATCGCCCAAGTTTCAATTGGACAGAGACTTGGAATCATGCAACTTGGTTGCATGATGAATGAGAAATTTTATATATGGAAATTAGACTAATTCGTTGACAAAATGTCAAGTGAAGGACTAGGAGATCGAGTACACAAAGTTGTGTGTTGATAAAGTCCACCACAAGAGTGACAAAAGATATTCATCATGATTTACTAAAGGTTTAGTAAATATGATTATACTTATAAGATTAAGTGTAATTCTGATTTGATTGAAAGAGTTTCAATCAATAGCAGAACGGATAAGAAGAATCAAGTAGGCAGAAAAATAAAAGTTTATCTATTCTAAGAAGAAGGGAGAGTACCTTTTATTATGTTTTATGATAGGTCTTAATGATTAAGAACCATATCTCAATTGATCCTCTAAACGAGTCTTAGTACAGTTGTATGTCTGGGAAGAGGAATCAAGAATTGAAGAAATGGTTAAATCAAGAAGTCAATCATACTTCATCCAAAAAACAAGTCTTAGAGTTAAGATTGTGACATTGAGTGACAAGTCTTAAGAAGGTTTATAACATTCATCAAATGTGGAAAGTTGTGATGTCTTGGATAAGAAAAAGACCAACTAGGACCAATTTTGTGAAGTGTTTTGTCTTGATAAAAGCTACACTAACTCTTGAATATTTGTTTGTCAAGAAATGTTTATTGACATGACAATATTATATGTCAAGGAGTCAGTGGGAGTCTTAATGGTCTTGAAAAGTTCAAGAACTAATAAAGAATAAATGTTATCAACCATCCCTAGCACACGACTTGAGGTTCACAACCTATCGTGTT